TGCATGGTATTGCAGGACATGCGAAGCCGAAGCCTTCCGAAGCACCCGTGGAAGAAGGCCAGGTGTCATTTTCTCAGGAATGGTTCACGTGGCAGGCCACGACTGTGAATGTCACATAATGATATATAATGATATTATGATTCTGTTGAACAATCTGGAACATTCTGGAACAAGCTGAAGCACACCAGTATGTTACATGTGTTTTCAAATATATTTATATATATTTTTACACCTTTTTTGGATTGTGCATACGTCACTGTCACTGACTGCCTCATCTTAGTAGTGTTTCATCATTTAACTCCAGGAATGGACACCAGACCTGAAGGTGCTCCAGTGGAAGCAGGCGTATTTCCACACTTCGTGCAGGGTTTATAAAATGAGTGTTGCTAGATTGTTGGATGGTTTTTCTCTTGGAATGTCAGTGCATTGCATTTCATAAACCTGTGACATGGTTTCAAGATGTTTCAAGATCTTCCAAGGACATACCAAGCCGAAGCCTTCCGAAGCAGCAACGGAAGAAGGCCAGGTTTCATTTTCTCGGGAGTGGTTCACAAGGCAGGCCCCGACTGTGCACATAAGCTGAAGCACACCACTATTAGGCACTATTTAATGGATACATATGGATTTTTTTTAAATCTATTTAATACTTTTAACACTATAATATGTTATAATATGTTTATATATTTTTATTCTATCTATATGTTCCTTCTTTATCCTTCTTTTGAGTGTGTGTATCCATCACTGGCTGCTTCATTTCAGCAGTGTGTGGTAGTTGTTTGCCATTTGCTCCAGGAACTGCTCCAGGAGTAGGAAAAGAATCCAAAGATGATCGAGCAGAAGCAACAGGCACTTTCACACCGTCGTTGCGTTCAGCCCAGGTTTATGAAATGAGTGTCACCGGGTTTGTGGAGGCCTTTTGTTTTTGGAAGTCTAGTGAAGTACGCTGTATAAATATTTGAGTTGTAGCATTTGTTTTTTTGTTCAAAAAATAAAGTTCTATGAAGTGGATGTTTAAGGACACAACAGGATTCAGATTCAGAGCAACTGTCTTGGTCATTTTATAAAGGGTGCTATATATCCTTGTATCGCCACGCGGCACAAATTAGGGTAGAAAGGATTTGATCGCCCAGCGTGATTCAGCATAGTTTTGTTTCTGGTGCAATGGAGACTTTGCTTGCTGCTGCACTCCTTCTTGTTCTTGTGACAGTGATTGTGCAGCTGATGATCACAGAGTTCTGTTGCCGCTCTTGCCATCGTCGAGCTCAGCTGGGTCATTCCTTCAAGATTGCCGCAGACACTTGCACAGCATCCAGCCCAACCACATCTGGCCAGCCCACTCCTACATTGACATTTCCTCAGTCTCTGGCTGTGACGCCTAGTGGAACTTGTTTCATTTGCCCTCATGTGGGCACGTTTCCAAGCGCACAATCCGTGTGTTGAAACCATGCGAACATTGCCTGAAGATGTTTGCTGAGAAGGTTGACTAGATATGCCAAAGGATGCATTACTGATCATTACTGTAGGTGTGTTGATGGCACACATTAGTGTCCAGATGCATCCAATTCCGGATGCTTGCGTGAGTATGCCCCTGTGGGATGAAAAGTTGATGCAGGAGTCGAGAACAATGATCATTTATGAAATGAGATTGCAGCATATTGCAGCATTCCATAAGTATCAACTCCATAGAACCAGAAGTGCCATCAAATCGCTGCAACATGCTGCAAGCTGAACATTGATATGTCATGTGGTGGAGGCGCAGATGCAGACCCTGGACATGATGACAGTAAGCTTTTACTAGAAGCAGGCTCGATCACCAGTGTGAGAAGGCTTTACTTTTGGATAATGATCCTGTGTTTTATGAAATGCCAAACCTGATGTCACTGGGTTTGTCGTGCACACATTGACCTTACATAAGCCATTACATATATCCAATTGCCCTCGATCCTTTTGGCAGGTACGCCTCCGAAGCATAAGCTCCAGAGTGCGACGGAAATTCTTTGGAAGGAGATTGATAAACACATGGAACGCCATGACCACCTTTGCAGGAGAATGGATGATCTGCCGCCTTGCGAGGATCCAGAACCACACACCCCTCAGAAGAAACCCAAAACAGGCAGGAGAGCACTTTGGAACCTGAGCATCCTCATCTGTGTATATCTTTGTATGACGTGTATGATGACGAATGATTCAATGATGTTTGTTAATATTCCTAACAGCTTTACATAGCCTGCAGGCAACCACAAAGCAGCTGATGGAGGGTGTGGAGCACAGTCAGTCAAGAGGACTTTGAATGAAGCAGAAGGTGCGCTAGGATTCTCCAGGTATATACTGTAGATTTCTCAGACCCCAGTTGCGAGCCCTTGTGCACAGCAGGCACAGAGCAACCAGCTAAGCAGGGAAAAGTCCTGAAAGCAGACTCAGGCATGTCTCGGAAGGTTTGTTACAAACTTACAAACTCAAACTATTTTAATTATTTGCAAATAGCACGTCAGTGTCCTTGCAAGGTCTGCCAAAGGACCAGTCACAGGTGCGAGTGAAAGCAGAGCCGTCACAAGGCCGAGTAATACATCTTCTTCAATCCAGCGGTGTGGATTTTTGTGTTTGCTCTCTCCATTAGATGTTGGTTGAAGAATCCCTTTCTGTCTGAACATGGGCTGCTCAGGGTTCGTGCACGCAACTGAGATAGCTATAGCCACAGCCTCAAAGAAATTCAATTTTGGATTCTGGATTGTTCTTGGATGTTCTTGGTATAGAATGATTCGAATGATTTCTTGCGTATGTTGAAGTAATTACTGTATCTGTCTCTTCCAAAGACAGAGGTTCAGAGAGCGGAGACCTTGAAGAAGCCGGGTGTTTGGCTTGATCTCATGGACGTGTGCCTTTTTTCTTGTGCACGCAAG